CTCTACCCATTTGTAGTTATAGGTCACTCTCTTCTTTTAAAATATGCAGGCACTTTTGCCATTTTCACGAGTAAATCCTATTTCATTTTAGACAGCAGTCATTAGGTGTTGGCTGTAAGAGACTTTAAGTCATTCATTTAACAAGTATTTATTCAGTTCCTACTCTTTACCAAATTCTGGGGAAGCAATAATGGGACATGACCTACCCTCATGGAACTTACAATTTAGTAGGAAAAACTGACATGAATTAAAGAGTTAGACAGAAAACTGTAAAATTTCAATTCTGGCAAGTGTTGGGAAGAAATTCACTGTGTTCTGTCAGTCCATAAAGGGAGGCTTGCCTACTTGGAGTCCTCAGGGATTTCCCTGAGTAATGAAAATGTTAGAAAGTAAAACCAGAGGCAAGGGTACGGCTTTCAGAAAGTACAGAAACTGTAATATACTTTGGTAGAAGGCCAGGGTGCAGAGAACGGTAAGTAGAAAGAACTACAGTGTATGTTGTTAGAGCAAGATGGTGGTGGTGGGCAGAGTGCAGATGTTGATGGTGTGAGGTAAGAAGTTACCAGACCAGGCAAGTCAGTGTAAGCCTGGCAGTATTTTAATTCTAAAAGCAGTAGAGAGTCACTGAATGTTTTTAGGAAGAATACTTCCATGATGAAATTCACATATTTAAATTTTTTTTCTTGGTTCAACATTTTATTTTTATTGAAAAAAGTACACTTAAAATTGAGTTGAGTGGGGCACCTGGGTGGCTCAGTCAGTTAAGCGTCCAACTTCAGCTCAGATCACGATCTCATGGTCAATGGTTTCAAGCCCCATGTCAGGCTCTGTGCTGACTCTGTCTTCAGACTCTGTCTCTCTGTCTCTCTGTCTCTCTGTCTCTCTGTCTCTCTCTCTCTCTCTCTCTCTTTCTCTACCCCTCCCCTTTCTCTTTCCCTCTCTCTCTCAAATAAATAAATAAATAAATAAATAAATAAATAAATAAATATTAAAAATTTTCTTAATTGCTTTGGTGCTTGAGTCATTAATTTAAAAAAAATAAATTCAGGAATAAAGTTTAGTGATTCATCACTTACATATAACCCCCAGTGCTCATCCCAACAAGTGTCCTCCTTAATGCCCCACACCTCTTTAGCCCCTCCCCCCACCCAATACCCTGCCAGCAACCCTCAGCTTATTCTCTATATTTTAGAATCTCTTATGGTTTGTCTCCCTCTCTGTTTTTATTTTTGTTTTCCTTCCCTTATGTTCATCTGTTTTGTATCTTACATTCCACATATGAGTGAAATCATATGACATTTGTCTTTCTCTGACTAATTTCACACAGCATAACACCCTCTCATTCCATCCATTGTTGGAAATGGCAAGATTTTATTTTTTATCATCACCAAGTACTATTACTATTCCATCATACACACACACACACACACACACACACACACACACACACACACACACCACATCTTCTTTATCCACTCATCAGTCAATGGACATTTGGGCTCTTTCCATAATTTGGCTATTGTCAATAGTGCTGCTATAAACATTGGAGTGCATGTGCCCCTTCGAATCAGCACTCCTGAATCCTTTGGATAAATACCTAGTAGAGCAATTACTAGGTCATAGGGTAGTTCTACTTTTAATTTTTGAGGAATTTGCATACTATTTTCCACAGTGGCTGGACCAGTTTGCATTCCCACCAGCAATGCAAAAGAGTTCCTCTTTCTCTCCATCCTCACCAATATACTGTCATTGCCTGAGTTGTTAATTTTAGCCATTCTGACAGGTGTGAGGTGGTATCTGTGGTTTTGATTTGTATTTTCCTGATGATGAGTGATGCTGAGTATTTTTTCCATGTGTCTGTTAGCCATCTAGATGTCTTCTTTGGAAGAGGGTCTTTTCATGTCTTCTGTCCATTTCTTCACTGGATTATTTGGGTTTTTTTGGTGTTGAGTTTGATAAGTTCTTTATAGATTTTGGGTATTAACCCTTTAGCTGATACGTCAGTTGCAAATATCTTCTCCATTCCATTAGGTTGTCTTTTAGTTTTGCTGATTGTTTCCTTTGCGGTGCAGAAACTTTATCTTGATGAGATCCCAATAGTTCCCTTTTGCTTTTGTTTCCCTTGCCTTCAGAGACATGTTGAGTAAGAAGTTGCTGTGGTTGAGGTTGAAGAGGTTTTTGCCTGCTTTCTCCTCAAGGATTTTGATGGCTTCCTGTCTTACATTTAGGTCTTTTATCCATTTTGAGTTTATTTTTGTGTATGGTGTAAGAAAGTGGTCCAGGTTTATTCTTCTGCATGTTGCTGTCCACTTTTTCCCAACACCATTTGCTGAAGAGACTATCTTTTCTCCATCGATATTCTTTCCTGCTTTGTCAAAAATTAGTTGGCCATATGTTTCTGGGTTCTCTATTCTGTTTCATTGATCTCAGTCTCTGTTCTTATGCCAGTAGCATACTGTCTTGATGATTACAGCTTTGTAATACAGCTTGAAGTCCAAAATTGTGATGCTTCCGGCTTTTTCTTTTTCAAGATTGCTTTGGCTATTTGGGGTCTTTTCTAGTTCCATACAAATTTTAGGACTGTTTGTTCTATCTTTGTGAAGATTGCTGGTGTTATTTTGATAGGGAATATACTGAATATGTAGATTGCTTCGGGTAGTATTGACATTTTAACAATATTTGTTCTTCCAATCCATGAGCATGGAATATTTTTCTATTTTTTATGTCTTCTTAAATTTCTTTCATAAGCCTTCTGTACTTTTCAGTGTATAACTTTTTCACTTCTTTGGTTAGGTTTATTCCTAGGCATTTTATGGTTTTGGTACAATTGTAAAAGGGATCAATTCCTTGATTTCTCTTTATGCTGCTTCATTATTGGTGTATAGAAATGCAACTGATTTCTGTACATTGATTTTATATCCTGTGACTTTGCTGAATTCATGGATCAGTTCTAGCAGTTTTCCAGTGGAATCTTTTGGGTTTTCCAGACAGAGTATCATGTCGTGTGTGAAGAGTGAAAGTTTGAATTCCTCCTTGCCAACTTGGATGCCTTTTATTTCTTTGTGTTGTCTGATTGCTGAGGTAAGGACTTCCAACACTATGTTGAATAATAGTGGTGAGAGTGGACATCCCTATAGTGTTCCTGACGTTAGGGGGAAAGCTAAAATTAAAAAATTAAAAATTAAATAAAAAAATAAAAATAAAAATAATTTTTTTCTTTTTCTGTATCTAAGAATGAGGAAGAAAAGAAAGAAAGGAAAAAAAAAACAATTTAAGCAAAATCAGAAGCAAAAAAAACAAATAAGTGAACCAGCAAACAGAATGAAGCCCAAAGGAAGTTACATCTAGTTTCCCCCGGAACTGAAACTAGGAAGCTTTCTATAGTCCATACATGAAGCTGGTGGAGTGATTTGTGCTGGCCTTCTAGGGAATGTGCTTAGAGGGTGCACTTGGGCGAGGCTTGGTGTAATGCTTCCATTCTCCACTAGGTGGTGCTGCTTATCTCACTGGGGTGGATCAGGGTAGAGTGCCTGTGCCAGCTCTGGAGAGGTGGAAATGACTTCACCCAGCTCCCTACTCTCTGGTGCAGGAACTTCGTGCTCTCACGGATCCCTGGTCAAGTACCCCTCTTTGTCTCAGGCCTCCCCATGTCTACCTTGTCCATGTCCAAGCTGTCTGCCTGTCAGGAAGCACCCCCTCCTAAGTTTTATCTCAGATAGAGTTGTGTTTCAAAACCCCATACTTCAGAGATCCCTGAAGCTTGGACCCATGCAAACTCTCTAAGGGAGGGTCTTGCTGAGCAATAGCCAGGAGCCTGCTTTCCCCAGAAAACATCCAAGCAATTGTGCTGCAGCAGAGGTTCAGAGATTATGGCAAACCACAACACAAAGCTGGCGCCAGGTTTTACCACACTCTGGTGTCTTTGTCCTAATACCAGCAAATGTGGCTACTCTCCAGGGTCTACTGGGACCTCAGCCTGTGGGGAGGCCATATGGTCTCTACCAAATGCTCTTCAAGCAGGGGAATGGCTTCTCCCCATGTGGCACATGGACCCTTCAGACCCCGCTGCCTGCTTCTGGGGATTTGCCCTGCTTCCTCACCAGAGCACTGCCAGGCACTGGGCTCCAAAACTTGAGACTCTGCACCCCACTGTTTATAGCAACCTAGTGGTTATTTAAACCTTCTCCGTTCTTCCTGTCAGTGGTTTTGGGGAACAGATTTCTTGTTCAGTCCCCTGCGAGTATTTTCACTCTTTCTCTGTAGCCACTTTCAGGAGAGTGCTTTTCTTGCAGAATCCCGATGTACTGTACTCTCCCCCTTTCTCTTTCTCTGTCTTCTCTCCACAAAAACACCTCCCTACCCTCAATGGCTTTTCTCTCCCCCAGTTCACCTTTCCGCACTGCATACCTGCCGAGTTCTATGGCTCAAGCTATGCAAACTGTTGTGTTAATTCCCAGATCAATCTCCTAGGTATTCAAAATGGTTTGGTGCTGATTAAGCTGCACTTCAGGGATGAGACAAGCTCAGGGTCTCCATGCTGCTCTGCCATCTTAGAGCTCTTAGACTTACACAGTTTAAAGAGCACTTTGACTAAAGATTGATGAGTGGATTGGAGAAGGGGCAGAATAAAGGGCCAGACCTTAGGAAACTATTACAATAGCTTGGAAGAGGGAAATAATCATTCTTTCCATAAATAGAAAGAATCAGATGATGGGTAGCTGGACTGGTAATGGGTGAGACTATTCAAGATAAATTCAAGACACATTTATGAGGTAAAATCAGCATGAAGGGTGCTGTATTGGGTGTTGGGAGTAAGAGAAAGGGAAGATAAGGATTCACCCCAGATTTCTGGATTATGCAACTGGATAGATGGTGGTGCTATTCACAAAATAAGGAACAGTAAAGGACCAGGCTTTGAGAGGAGGTCATAGAATGACTGTGGACGTAAGTACCTTTGAAATACCTAAGAGAAGTCAAGTAAACAATTGAATATCCATGCAATGAGGTTGAAAACACATACTCTGTAAATAAGAGGTACCCTCCATTTTTTTTTTTCTATTTCCTAAGACTTGTTTAATCAGGTGCATAATCTCAATTTCAATTGTTTAGGTGATATAATCTGGAAGCCATGATCATCTGATGATGCCTAAGGTAAAAAGGAAAAACAATCATGATAGGATTTGTCCTGGTAGTCTCAAGCAAGAAAGTAATGACAGTCCAGTTTTGTTGTTGTAAAGTATGGGACCACTGGAAAAATCTTAAGTTGCAAAATGGTCACAGTGAATAAGGAATGGACATGAACGGGAGGACAGTGAACTTATTAATAAGTAGTAGGTTGAGCACAAGAGTTCACCTGGTTCCCCAGATCCCCAGATCACCTGGGGATACTCTCGTGGAGGAGAAGGAGGTGATAGGAAGGTCCCAGTGAAGAGTCTAGTTTCAAAGGCTTTAAGAGCCAGATATACAAGGAGGTACTACAAACACGTTGATTACAGCTTCTGAAAACAAAGAAAACTTGGTGGCAGGAGAGGGAGGGGATAGCAGGGGATGTGGTTAAACACTGTCTCCAAAATTATTTTATTTTAAAAACTTCCCTAAATATTACATGTAGTTTATTTTTGGATGAGATTTGAATTTTATCTATACTGGAACATTCTGCTTAAGAAAGATGTCTTTGGAAGACTGAAACAAATACACATTTGGTCTCTAGAGGATGAAAGTATGATCTCATCTAGGTGGGAATTGTGTCATGGTGTAGGTAATGGAGATTGTAAACTTTTTCACACAAGATATTTTCCATAAACCTTACTTGATATTTAAATCTTATATAGGGATCGTAGGTACACAATGAGAAATAATGATAACCATGAATTCGTTCTCTTCCACCCACCTAATTCTTCACCATCTATCCCTCTTTATCACTACACCAAAACAGTGAATACATACATTCTACCACTACTTCCTCACGTTATTTTTGAGTCACCGTTTACTATAATTAGTCGTTATCAACAAAGGATACTATTTTGGATCCATGTACTTATTATTATGGTCACTTTATTTTTTCAAAGTTCATTTTTGAGAGACAGAGAGAGACAGAGTATGAGTAGGGCTGACAAGCTGTCATCACAGAGCCCGTCGTGGTGCTCTAACCCACAAACCATGGGCCAAAGTCTAACGCTTAACCGACTGAGCCACCCAGGCACCCCTACAATGGTCACTTTAAATGAATGGATGACTATTTTGACTCAGTATGTCTTCACCATATCTTGAAAAATTAAATGAAAAACCTCAATGTGAGAAACCATGTGTTTCTCATGATATGCCTAGTCTGGCTGGAGTCACAGGAACAGATACACAAATATAGATGTGCTGTTGCTCATTTAATCATTCAGTATTTCCTGATTGTTCTGTTCTTGGTGCTAAACAGTTTGGAAGGGGAAGGGGGTGTGAGGAGGATGAATTTACAGTCTCCTACTGATTCCTGTCTCAAGTTCAGAAGGGAAAAAAAGATATATACAGAAAACACTTTTTTTTTACAATTTTTATTTTATTTATTTTGAGAGAGAGCACACAAGTGGGGGAGGGGAAGAACAAGGAGAGAGAGAGAATCCCAAGCAGGCTCCCCACTGTCAGCATAGAGCCCAAACCTGGGCTTGAACTTATGAACCACGAGATCATGACCTGAGCCAAAATCAAGAGTTGGATGCTTAATTGACTGAGTCACCCAGGTGCCCCCAGAAAATACTTTTTTTTAATGTTTATTTATTTTTGAGAGAGAGAGAGAAAGAGAGCATGAGCAGAGGAGGGGCAGAGAGAGAGAGAGGCAGACAGAGGATCGAAAGCAGGTGCCACACTGACAGCAGTGAGCCCAATCTGTGAGAACATGACCTGAGCCTAAGTCAGACACTTAACTGACTGGGCCACCCAGGCACCACCAGTAAATATGTTTAACCAATGTATGCTAAATTAAAAATGAGTATAAGCAAAATACATATACAAAGTTATAGGAATTCTTTGATGTGGTCATGCTAACTGTGGAGTATGAATACAGAGTCTGCAGGAAAGCTTGGTGGATAAGTGGAGTGGTGAAGGAGGCATTACAAACAAGAATGAGAAGATAAACAAAGGAAGTGTGATGGGAACTGGGAGGATGAACAGAGACAACAAGAAGTAGGTCAGATTTCGTTCTGCTAATTCTCATTCTCATCTCTAGGTCTCTGTACATGGTGCCCATTTACCTTCATGTTACCAAACCTGGTAGCTTATACCTCTCTTGGACATAATTCTGGGGAGCCACTCCTAACCCTAGACTAGATTGTGTCTTTCTTTTGTCCCATACTTCCCTGGTCATAACATTCATCACTCTATACTAATTGCCTATCCAACTGTTGCTTGGTGTCCCCTGCTAGGCCACAATGGCTTAAGGGCAATGGCTTACAGCTCTGCAGTAGGCCGAATAATTACAAGAGATGCCCATGTCCTACTCCCTGGAATCTATCAATGTATTATCTTATATAGTAAAAGGGACTTTGTAGACGTAATTAAGTTAAGGACCTTAAGATTAGGAGATGATCCTGCAATGTCTGGATGAGCCCAATGTAAGCACAAGAGTAGTTATAACAGGTTTATAGGAAGATTAGAGCCAGAGAGAGGACATAATAACGGAAGCGGAGGTCAAAAACAGGGAAGATACTGGCTTTGAAGATGGAGGAAGAGGCCATGAATGAAAGAATGCAGGTGACCTTGGAAGCTGTAAAACCAAAGGAAACAGATGTTCCCCTACAGCCTCCAGAAGGAACATAGGCCTGCTGATGCCTTGATTGTAGCCCAGTAGAATTTTGGGCTCAGTTGATTTTGGACTTCTGACCTCCCAAACTAAAATAATAAATTTCTGTGGTTTTAACCTACCAAATTGATGGTAATTTCTTACAGAAGCATTGTGAAACTAATACAGACTCCACTTCCTCCCAACATGGAGCCCAAGAACTTGCTCAAAATACACATTCACTTAATAAAATTATTACATGAAAAAAGTCGGGGCTCCTAGGTGGCTCAGTCGGTTAAGTGTCTGACCTCGGCCCAGGTCATGATCTCATGGTTTGTGGGTTTGAGCCCCGCATCAGGCTCTGTGCTGACAGCTCAATGCCTAGAACCTACTTCAGATTTTGTCTCCCTCTCTCTCAAAAATAAACATTAAAAAAAGAAAGAAAAAATGCCATCCTGCAATATGGAGATTGTAAGCCAAAGATAGTAGTGATAGAGGTGTGAGTGTTATCATAAGGAACCTTGAATGATCCAGAGATGAACTCTAACATGAGCTGGGGCCAGTAGCAATGCAGCGAGAGTGACTATTTTTCTTGAAGAGCATGAAGAAAGAGGTGAAAATGAGTAGAAACTTGCTGCCACAAAAGGCTAGAATGTTCCTGGAATGATCTAGAAAGTAACTGAGAGACGTTACAGGCCAAATATTGTAGTTGTTCCAGGGGTTCCAGGAGGAGTAGAGTTTTGACTTGGAGTTCAGCTGTCCCTCAGTGCTCAAAACGGCAAGGTATGGGGATAAACTAGTCAAAGATAGGAATGACACACTGGCTCTTACTCATTTGACATGAAGTGACTTCAAACATTAACTGATTCCAATCGAATTTTTTTACCTCATTTTTCAGAGGACTGGGGTAATAACATTCTTCATTTCTTGCTACAGCATCATAATTGGTTTTCATAAGATTTTTCTTGTATTATTTATTTTCATTTTTCCCCAAATATTCTAATATATCTGATATTAGCCCTTTTATTTGTATGGGTTCTTATAAAACATGTATGGTTGTTTTCTCTGCATATATTTTTAATATAATGTTAGGCTATAAATCTTTGGTTGTGTCTTAATTTTTTAAAAAATCTATCGCACTTATAACATTTACCCATATTGCTATGTGTACATCTATTCCATTGCTTCTAAACACTGTGTAGTGCTTCTTGGTTATGCCTATTACATTGTGCCTATTTATTTCTCCAGGGATGAATATCAAGATCATCCAGATTGCTTCCAAATCTTTATAAACAATGCTACAATAAATATCCCCATATATTTCCCCTTATAGGTCCATGTAAAAATTTCATGTATACTCACGAAATGACTTGCTGAATCATAAGGCACATATATACAGACGTTTGATTAAAAGCCAGCAAATTTCTTCCCTGAATATCTATCTGCACCAGCTCTCACTTCTATCAGGAATCTGCCAGTGTCCCTATACCTCCAAAGGACAGGGGTGGGCCCAAGGAGTAAAGGGCTAAGGTGTGCAAGGGCATGGGAGCCACTGGGGCTTCCCTCAGCCAGACCTGATCATATAATCATATCCCTAAAGCTAAGATCTTCCTGGCTGGATGGAAGTGTTCTCTCTCCAAAGGGAGCCAATGACGACTTTTCACAAAAAGATGCTTTCACTCTCCGTCCCTCCTGCATTGCTGCATTCCTGCATTTATAGCTTCTGCCTTCACTCCCTCCTTCATGTGTGAGGAGAAGACCCCTAGGCTCCCAAGTACAGGCTGGAGGGAGGACTGAGGCAACAAAGTTCCAAAGAGAGCTCTGCCCACACTGGTCCTGGCTTCCCTTCCGGTGACATTTCTGTTCTGGTGAGCAGCCTGGGGTAGTGCTTCGTTTCAGAAGCATCATCCATGGAGGCAAAGTCCAATCTCCAGCACTGAAAGCAAGGCTGGGTCCCTCTCATGCAGTGAGAGAAGGGAAGAGCCAGAGCCCAGTAGCCAGGCATCCATTTATTCCTGCTCCATACTGGGAAGGCTAGAACATTGCTTACTATATCCTGGCGCCCTTCTAAGCTGCAGGCTGCTCTTCCAGATGTGCCCTGGCAAGAGCTCAATCAGATGGCATCCACCCGGCAAGACCAAAGCTCCAAGCCAGGGAGCCCGGATGTTGAGGATCTGCCACAGTGAGATTCACGAAGACCAGGAGACAACTCCTTGGCAACTCATGCAGAATCGTCAACCTGAGCTTCCATCAGTGCTGATGACCACCTCCGCCCACCTTATGACAAGGAGAGCATTGCAGGACTCGGAGATATGGAGAGGAAACTATGAGGTCATTCATGGGTGAATTCCTGGACTGAATTCAGCCCTGAGTGCCTGAAA